TTCTGTGAGCAGAAATATGATTCACCAGTAAGATTATAAATGGCATTCTCTGGTTCTTCACTTGTTTTTGGTATCTTCCAACTTCTCTACAACGAGCAGATAGTACTTTTAGGATTAATATTTTTTTTTCTTTCTTATTGAAAACAAATGGTGGTGTGGGCCCAGAGTCCTGCCACCTTCCTAAAGGCTGGTCTCAGAATGTGCTGTGGGAGAGAGAGATGCTGGGAGCTGATGCCAATAAAGGAAGTATGCTGAGTCCCAAACCTGGGAATGTGGACAACTGGCCAAAAAGAAATACACAAATGACCAGAACATGTCTCATTCTAGCTGGGCTTGTGTGGCTGTCCATAGCGTTTACATGTTGCTATAATTTTCAGACAAAAGAATAGTACTTGGCACACAGCTGATGCTCAGTACATATTTACCAAATAAACGACTGTAGTGCTAATGCAGAACAGCAATCTCTGCACCTCAAGTCAGGCGAAATCAGAATCACTTCCTGCCTGAGAAGCCAGCAGAGGGTGTTGCTCTCTGAGGCTACAGCCACTAGATACTAAGTAGGAACCACAATAAAGCAGAAGCACTGTGCACATGATGTACTCACAGGTGGCCTTAATCAGTTACAAGGTCTCATTGTGCTTTTTCTTATCACAAAAGCATTAAAGAAAAATGGAAAATGCAGATAACGAGAAAAGAACATTTTTTAACTACTGTTATGACATAGATATGTACTCTTTCAGGTGATATTTTATGCATACACGTAATTCATATACATATATATTTTCTTTTGCAAAAACTGGAATAGTACCATAGTACATTTTTTTCTGTTAGAAATTATGCTGCAATGAACAAGTGCTACCCCATTGTAACCAAATACTTAATAGGTTAAAGGATATCTCAACTGCCGAAAACATGCCCCAATTTACCTTTCCTGAAGTAGCAACAGGACTGACACCACTCACAGCGGGGTGAGGATGGGGTGTTGGCGTGTGCCCAATGCAGTCGTAACCAACCCAGAGGCCGCTCTGTGCTTGTGTCCTAACAGCCTGACCTCCGGGGGCTTCAGCAACAGCAGGCACTTGGTCATCAGGAAATCAGGTTAATTGCTGACTTTGAAAAGAACTTAAGAAATAATTGATTATTGTATCCTTAAAGGGCTCTTGGCATATTTATCCAAGACTAGAACTCAGCTCCCCTCAGTTCATAAAACTATAAGGTTCCCATGAAAACACAGGGGTTTAATACTTCTATAATGGAAATCCTGTGTAAATGGGACTTTAGGTCCCAATTCTGATAATAATAGGAGCAGATACCTCACATCTTAAGATGAACCTTAGCCAAAAAAGCCCATGCCCACCTGGAAAGCATCATGCTACTGAAGCCAGACACAAAGGGCACATACTGTATGATTCCATTTACCTGAGGTGTCCAGAGCAGGTGAGTCCACGAGGGTAGAAAGTACACCAGGGGCTGGGGGTGGGTAAAGAGGTGACTGCTTAATGGGCACAGGGCTTCTCTTGGGGGATGAAGTCATTCCGGAATTAAGTAGTGGTGATGGTTGCAAAACATTATGATACACTGGTATCACTAAATGGTACACTTTAAACTGTCAAAAACAGTTGATTTTTGTTTATGTGAATTCTATCTCAATTTAATTAAAACACAAAACAAAGCACCCATCCAGGTGCTTCTGCTGAAGACAGGAGACAGAAAGAGCAGATGACTGTATGGCACTGCTTTAAGAGTGGCCCATCGTGGGCTCTCCCTGGGTGGGCATGTGGGCGCATGCTTCTAGAGCACAGAAAGCTCAGGGGCCAGAGATGGAGTCTCCATACAGTAAGACATGGCCTCGGTTGGAGATCTGTTCCACCACGCATTGTGGGCTTACAGAAAACAGCTGAAGCAGGCCACAAAAGGAACAGGAGTGGGGTGCACTCCCAGGGCTGATGGGCGAAGGGATGTGTTCCCTCAGACCAGGCTCCAGGCACTTTGTAAAAGCCCCACCAGGAGTGCTGTGCCAGAGTGAGAACTCAGCAGAAGGAGCCTGTGCACAACAATCAGGCCCTGTCGAGCCAGAGTCCCCAGTGAGCCGTCCCTGAAGAACACTCCGGGCACCCCCATTAAAGAAAGAGACTACATTAGACGTCTTAGACATCTGCCAGTGGCCCACCTACACCTCATTACAGGCTGCGTGCCAGAACCATAATGAGACACAATGTGTGTAAGACCCTCGTAAGATAGGAAGTGCTTTTAAAGTGTTCATTATTAGAAAATAATTCCAAATCACCAAATTAGTGCTGTAACAATTTCTTGTTTTATATCTCTAATTCCTCAAGTCTGTGATTACAACATGAGGAGTTCTGGAAATAACAGGATCCAAAGAAGCCCTAAGATTTCATCACTCAAATCCCTGCCCCAAGGCAGGAGTCACTTCCAAACCCAGCCAGACTTGTGGCCATACCTGCCCCACCACACTAGGTTCAGAAGCATGTCAAATGTCAGTCCACTTCCTACCATCCATTTGCATCAGAGTGCTCAAAAATACCAAAAGACTGTGCTGTGTGGAAAAGACCAAGTAATATGTATCTGTCCTATTTTAAAATCCTGAGAAGGCAACTCAACCATCTGTCTTGGCAACCCATTCTAGGCTGGAGCCACCCTGTCAGAAACATCTCTCTTCTGTTTAATGTAAATCCTTCAGACTGAGCCTCAGGCTAATTTAATTCTATTCCACTGTCAAATAATTTGGAATACCGTTGTTTACCATCTGAATTATAGGGTTATATAATGTTGCAGGGTTATGGTGAGCAGTAAACGAAATATGCATGTGAAACACGGACCTCAGTATCTGATCCCTAATAGCCCAACACCTATTTATTATCCCCATTATATGTAACTAGGACTCTTTCTGTCACAAGAGTTTGAGCTGTTCTACTCAATTTCTACAACTCCAAATAACATTAGTAAAAAAAAAAAGGGGGTGGGGGGGTACGGGTACAGGGCCCAGACTGTAACTGAAGTGGGAGGGACCGTGTGCAGCGGCTTCAGGCCCTTCTGGATCCAGGACTCAGGTAATGTTTGAGGGGCTCCTCTTTCCCTACCTTCTCTGTCGTTCTGAAGCACAGAGAACACGATGGCAACCAGCAGGCTCAGGTGGGGTAAGCCTACAGGAGACTCGCCATACACTGGCTCGTTCATCAAAAATTTGCTGAATGCCAAGCAAGTGTCAAACAGGGTTCTAGAAGCTAAGAAGAGAGCAGTGTCTACGACAGAACATTTCCACCCTATGGAACTTACTCTGTTCGAGAGAGTGAATCTGGCAGGAGGTGAAGGAGTGCCAGAAAGAAAGTTGTTCCCCACAAAATAAGGTCGACCCTATACCATTAAGATCAACTTTACTTTCTCTTCTCCAAGCCAAGTAAACCCACCCCTGCACAAGTCCTTCCCCTTGAATGTGCAGGGTCCCAAAACTCAGGTCTTCAAATAAATAAACTTGTCTGTGAATTCTGAGTGCACTAAGTTTATTGATGCTGTGTAATCTTTGCATTGCGTTTCTGTGATGTGCCTGCAACTATAACATAACTTTGTTTCCATTTTTGAAAGTCATTTTTCTTCTTAGACTAGTTTTGTATTAAATACAGGTCTTTTTTTCTGCCTTCCTGATTCCCATTGAATGGGACGTTAGTGACTTCATAAAAAACCACAAATACCTGGTCATTTATTAGTTATTTAAAAAGTATTCTGAGTAATTTTAATACCATTTCTCTGTGTTAATCATTCTAACCGCAAAAATGAAGGCCTGGAGATCAAGTTTTTGTGAGAACCCTAGGCCTTGAGGCCTAACTTTAGAAAATCTCAACCTTTTCCTCTGCCCTGGGAGCTCGCAGGTAGGTATGAGTTGCTGAAGCATTTTCAGGCTGTGTTCTCCTGGTAAAATTCAGCCCTTCATGAAACTGAAACCAACCTCACCTGAAAAATCTTGCTGCAGTAGTGCCAGCCCAGATTTGCTCCACAAGCAGGCCAAGCGAAGGAGCAGGCACAGGACTCCATTAAGGCAGCCCTGGCCCAGCGGACCGCTGCCCTGTGAATCCACCCACCACGAGGTGGGGCCCAGGGCCGGGTTGCTCGGGTGTGTATGGGGGAAGGGGTGACCTGGTCACCGTGTTTATTTTTTAAGTAGTTTTACAAGTTTTGTGCCCTGTGCCTGCTGGCTTTCAGTCTCCCTCTCCGTTGTGCTTTGGTTAGGATCTCTTGTCAGGGCGTAATTTGGCCATTTGGCTCAGTCAAATCTCACCGTTAAAGTTGATTTCGGAATCAAACAAAAATGAATTTTTAGTCGACACTCTCATCAGCCCCACACCCTCTGCTTCTTTTCTGGTCACCCGGCTTTGGGGCCACCGAGCTTGGGGTCTGGGGTCGCCCACGTCCGGTCTCCAGGAAGTGAGGAACCTTGGCACAGGCGCCCTTTCCAAGAGGAGGAAGTCTGGTTCCGGGCTTGTTTTGGAGCTAAATACCCTGTGCATTCCCGCCTCGGTCAGCTCCAACCGCTTCCCCTGCGCTGCCCCGCGCCTTGTGCCCCCTCCCGCTCCGGGACAGGTGCGACTTCCTGGGCGCAGGGCCCAGCCCGGTCCCCTGGCGGAGGAAACGGGCCCAACTTTCCTCTTCTCCACCCTCCAAGGTGGGCGGGCGGGCGCGGAAGGCAGCTTCTGCTTAGCCCGGGCCAAAGAAAGCCGCAGGAGGCCGGGGCTCCGCGGACCTCGTGGCCAGAGCAGAGGGGTCTTCCAGCCGGTGTCCCCTTCAGCCTGTTCCCCTCACCCAAGCGGTTCTGGGCTAGATGAATGGGCCTACGCAACTGGCAGCAGCGGGCGAGCGCGTCCCCAGCCGGGGACCCCACCCCCTGAGCCCTCCCACTGCCCCACGGCAACCTTTCCCCCCTCCCCTGTGTTTCCCTACCCGCCCCGTGCGCACCCCGTGCCCCCACCTCTTCCCCCAAACGCGACTCCCCACCCCAACCCTCCGTCCAGCTCGCTCCCGCCTGCAGCTCCGAGGCTGGTTGCGAGGAGGACGTGCAGGGGCGGGACCCGTCTCCCCGCCCCGCATCAGACCTCAGATGCGCGGGGACAAAACGCGGTGGCTGCGCGGGAACCCGGGGCGCGCATAGGCGAGGCGGGGCGGGGCAGGCCTGCTGCCCTCCCCTCCCGGACCCTGGCCCCCTGGCCATCCGTCCCCGGACCGCGCAGGGCCCGGCCACCAGGGTGCTCAGGCGCTGCCTTCGGCCGCGCCGGAGGTGGGGGAAGCCCGGGCGGGGAGCCTGCGCGCGGCCGCCCGGAGCTCCGCAAAGTTGGCCCCGGAGAGGCCGCGGCCGCGGGGAGCGGGGCAGGGGTTGGCCGTGGGAGAAGCCGGGGTGACAGGCGCGCAGACCCCGAAGGCCGCCGCCGGTCCCCGGAGCCTGGGAGACTGCTCCGCCCTGGGAGTCGTTCTCCCGGCGGGCGACTCGTGAGAATGTCCGTCTGTCTGTAGGATGCGTTTGTGTTTAATGTCTGGCAAGGAGTTAAAAAACGACGCAGGATGCACCCGAAAAACGTACCAAGCGTCTGTGGAGTCGGTTGTGTTGACAGTGACTGAGAGTGCCGGAGCGGGTCGGAGCCGGAGAACGCAGGAAAAACCGCGTTAACAGAAGACCGGCAACCTCGGGCCCCAGTGCGAAATAAGCCTCGGTTCGGAAAGTTGCTGCAAAGAGAGCAAGTGGGCGGCAGGACTGGAGCGGGCGACCGGCGGCATGCGCACCCCCGGACTTGCGAAGACCCAGCGGGTCGGGGACGCGGGCCCCGCGGCGCTGCTGCGCTTGCTGGTGGTCGCCGCCGCCGTGGGCCGGGGCGCTTGCGGGCCGTGTCCCGTCGTGTGTATCTGTGCCACGGACTTAGTGAGCTGCACCAACAGAAACCTGTCCCAGGTGCCCGGGAACCTTGCTGGGCTGATAAGGAGACTGGATCTGAGCTATAACAGCATCGGGCCTCTGGACCCAGAGTGGACCCCGGTGCGCTTCCAGAGGCTGGACACCCTCATTATTCGTCATAACAGCATCACCAGCATTTCCACGGGCAGCTTCTCCGCAACCCCAAATCTCAAGTGCCTTGACCTGTCCTCCAACAAGCTGCAGGCCGTGAGGAGCGCGGTGTTCCAAGAGCTGAAGGTTCTGGAAGCCCTCCTGCTCTATAACAACCGCATCTCCTATCTGGACCCCGCGGCATTTGGGGGGCTCGCCCAGCTACGGAAACTCTACCTGAGCGGAAACTTTCTCACGCAGTTTCCCATGGATTTGTATGTTGGGCGGTTCAAGCTGCCAGAGCTGACGTTTCTAGATGTTTCTTACAACCGGATACCGTCCCTGCCAGTGCAGCACATAAAGTCGGTGCCGGGGAAGCAGCTGAGAGGCGTCTATCTCCACGGAAACCCGTTTGTCTGCGACTGCGCGCTGCTGTCCTTGCTGAGCCTGTGGCACCGGCGGCGCTTCAGCCCGGTGGTGGACTTCCAGGACGACTACACGTGCCGCCCGCGGCCGCGCGCCGGGCGTCCCCGGCAGGTGCAGCTGCTGCGCGGCGGCTCCCTGAACTGCTCGGACGCGGCCCTGCGCGGGCCCCCGCGCGCTCCCGGCGCCATTCGCGAGGCGCGAGTGGGGGAAAGGCTGGTTGTGCCCTGCGGCAGCGCGACGGGGGACGCGGGCGCCGACTTCTTGTGGGTCGGTCCGGATGACCAGGCGCTGGGCCCCGGCGGAGAGGTGGACCGCGTCCGCGTGCTGCGCGACGGGAGCCTGCTGATCGAGAGCCCGCGGCCGGAGGACGCGGGCGTGTATTCGTGCACCGCGGTGGACCGGCGGCACCTGCTCAACGCCACCGCTGACGTCACCATCCAGGTGAGCAACCGCACGGCCGGCAGGCCCCACGCGCACGAGGCCTTCAGCACGGCGCTCACCACCCTGGCTGCCTGCGCGGCCAGCGTCGCCCTGGTGCTGGCCTACCTCTACCTGACGCCGTGCCCCTGCGGGGGCCGGGGCCGGGGCGGGGGCCCACAGGCGGCGCAGCACGCGAGCGAGCCCTGCCCCTCGGCGCGCGGCCCCGACCCTGCCCGCGCCGCGCCGCACGCGGCTGCCGCGAAGAGAGTGGCGTTTCTGGAACCCCTGAAGGGCGCAGCGGGGCGGGACGACGGAGCCGGGCTGCTTCCCCGCGAGGCGGCCGCAGCCGAGGGCATCCTCAAGCCCGCCCGGAAGTGCGACTCGGATTCGGTCAGCTCGGCCTTTTCGGACACGCCCTTCGTGGCGCCCCCTTGACCGGCGAGGTGGCCTGATCCCTGCGCATCCCACCCGCGTGGTCTGCGCGGAAACGCGCGGGGGCGGTGCTCGGGTTCCTGGAATGCGAGCCTGATAGGAAACGCGGTGAAGCCCTGGCGTGCTTGGGTGTGCGAGAGGCAGACGGGGTGCTTCCCGCGGTTTAACTTCCAGATAACAGCATCGTGGGCTGTAGCACGGCTCATAACTTCCGTGTCGGCCTGGGGGTGATGTGCCTGACATGTGCTCTTACTCAGGATTCTCGGAGGGACCGGTAATGTCATGCACTAGTGTTCTTGAGAAGAAACGTTAGTAACTGACCAGGACAAAAATTAAGACATTTTAAAGAAAAGCATCAGTCCTATTTTTAAAAGACTGAGAAGGAGGAGCCGAGCAGCAGTTATTTATAAAGCACAGAATAAAGTTAGATTTGGGAGTAATTCAGCTATTTTCATCATTTCAGGTCTGGGTAAATAGATTACACTGATTAAAATTTACTGCGTAATGCCGCATCCCGTATGGTATTAGGGAGATAGTGCAGTAAAGTTACATTTGTTTGTCTTCTTTCTGCTCTGTACATTTCCTGTCCTACAAAACTAATGGAAAGTTAAAGTCAACATTATTTGTTGCCGTGAGTAGGTAGGTGTCAATACCAAAATGTCTAAGTTCTTAAACCTTTGTAGCAGACTAATATTCGTTTATATTGTGTATATGTATATCTTGAATTACATGAACTATTCAATAGACCCTTCTGTATTGTAAATAATGTATTCTGTGACTTGATGTCCTGTTTTATTTGGCTATTTAAAAACATAAATCTAAGATGTTTCATGTGATCAGATTGTTCTACTTTGTATAAAACACCCTCTATAACAAATGTATCTCCAGATTTCTTGGAGTTACAGTACAGCTTATCTTTTTAAAGGCAGGAAATGGCCCCACAATGCTCTACTTAGTTCATGCCTTCTACAGCACCTTACTCTGGAATCATGATGCACTTCAACCAGGTTCAGAAGAAACATATGCTCTCGTTTTGCAAAACAGGAGAGCCCAGGAGACTTCCTTCTTATTCCATCTGTGCTGTGAGGTGGTTGAGTACCCACTCTGGACCTCAGTTTCCTCAGCTATAAATGAAGGTTTTAGACCAGGTCATGTTTAAGGTTCCTACCTCCAGAAGCAGTGATTTCCTAGTTTGAGCTCCATCACAGTCTTGCACTGACTGGCTTTCGGAGACCGTACACATGCTGATGGAACACAGGGAGGGGTTAGGATAGACCAGCACAGCACTGCATAGCTAGCTCAAAGGGACGTTTGGACCATCCAGTCTGGTGTCTTCCCGTCTCAAGGACAGGTGAAGTCCAGAGAGTGTTGTGGGTTGGCTGAGGCCACACAGTGAATTAATGACAGAAATGGAGAGCTTGGGTTCAGATTCTTCCTGGCAAAGATAAAAGATTTAAAGAGTGGTTATGTTTAATGGTGGGCATGCAGAAAGAGCCAAAGAATGAGATGAGAGTGGTCAGGAAATGGCAAAGGAGAATGGGAATGTGCCATCACTGGGGCTAAGAGAAGTTTTAAAAGGTGGAAGTGCAGCAAAGGAGGTGAGGGGGGACTGACCTTGACAGGGCTGCTTTAGGGGACCAGGGGATGCTGGTGACAGGAGGTGCCACTCCAGGCTCCCAGGGGCAGACCCTGGTCAGAGGACGCTAAGGAGTGAGCAAGGGTATGTGCTGTGGGAATAGGGTGCAGAGCCACTGCTTGGGGGTGTGGAAAGTTCCTTGCTGTGCGGTGTCAAAATGACCACTCTTGCCCTTTAAACACAGACCTCACCCACTGGACGAGATCCTTCAGCTCCTAAGATGGTAAAGCGAATGTGTACTCCAATTCCTGCCATTACATAATTAGGAAAAATTCTGTGATTTCTGTGAACTTTGGAATTGCTCCTTCCTTCGTGTTCGTTGAAACTCCGTTGTGAAGGTGCTACAGTCTGCTCAGCGTCACACAGCCAGTCCAGACCCAGAACAGCTCCTGACCCACTGACACTGCAGCAGTGGGCAGGGTGCCTCCAGGGGTACAACTCCCCAACAGCAGGAGAGAGGGCCTGTCAGCTGGCTGGGAACACAGGGGGCCTCTGAGCTGGGCCTTTCCTGCACGGGAGCCTGTGCTGGACAGGCTCTCCCACGTCCTTCGGCTTTCACGCCCTCCAACCTGGGACAAGCAAGCTGAGTTTGGCCGGGGGTCAGGCTTGCACTGGGAGCCCGAGTTTGTAGAGCCTGATGTTGACCGGCCCTAAAATGCCCTGGGGAAGGGCCTGGCTGAGCTGAGGTTGGCCCTAATGTGCTCAGAGCTAGCACAAAAGAAACAAAAAAACTCTGAATGCTGAGAAACAAAGCTGTGTTTTGAACAAAAGTAGGCAGTCTGTGTGTTGCAAGGCATGGAACTAAATGTGGTGATGTGGAATTTTCAGTATTATGTTTTTTGGGTAGGAGCTTGATCACATATATTTAAATATAGAAACAGAACTAATTTGTACTTAAAATTTGTCCCACTCAAAACTTTTATATAATTTTCATTCCAAGTAATAATATGGATTTATGCAACTGGGTTATTGTTTTAAACTACTTAGTATTTTTTGTTACATAGTTGTGAGAGAGTTACTCATTGGAGAAATCAAGCAAAGATCATATGAAATTTTCCTGGAATTAGAGTGTTTTTTCACTATAATTACAAGATATTAGTTTTATGATCATAGACTCTATAGTTAATCATGAGTTAAATTTCTTAAATACACTTTTAAAATTTTAAATCTGAAAGAATGGGCTAAAACATTTTCTTATTTATAGTCAACTTCTACAATAATCATCACTGTTTGGCTTAGAGAGATTTAAGTATATTTATTTTTAGCTTTCATTGCTTCAATTATTTGCCCAGAAAAAAAATGTTTTTTTATTTCTCTAAATAAAACTTTTCTAAAGTGTTAACTGAAAGTGACAAGTTGGGGAGAAACTTGAGAGGAACAAGAAGGCACATTAACAGCCCAGATTCTAAAAGGACACGGGACTGGGCTCACCCTCAGCACTGGTGAGACAGGGCACAGGGCCTCAGGGGCGGCGACTCTTCTGCCATGACCACTGCTGTGGCTGCCACATGTCAGTGTCACCCCGTGTCCACCAAGTGGCCTGGCAACAAGTCTGGAGTCAGTCTTACAGGTAGAATCACAGGGAGAGTCAGGGAAGCAGGAGTTTCTGGAAGCTGCCCTCCACACGCTCCCCAGCCAGGGGCTCTGATTCTGGAGGTTTGGGGCAAGGCCTGCCCTTCACGTTCATACAGATTCCCACAGACTTCTGAATCGGCCTCTTTCGGTGAGGTACATTCTACAGTGGGGCTGTACTAACCGTATGTCTGGGGCTCTGCCAAAATACAGCATTGTTACTTCCTAATGGATTTATTAATAAAAAGAAAATTTTAGTGCTGTCTTCAAAAAAATTCTAGTATGATGGAAAAAGAGTTTGGTTTTCCAATACTAAATAAACTCCAGAGTAAATTGTCAGCTGTAATTTATGACTTAACGTTTTTCTAAATTATGAAATATAGTATAATTACTTTGAGATTAAATTTGAGATTTGAGATTATTTTCAGACTAAATCTCTGATTCTTTGATTTTTAAAACTATTTTTGGCTTGAAAGCTGCAACAGATCTGGTTTGTTACAATGAGCTTTGGAGCTTTCCGATGTGATTAGATCACAGCAGTGAGCGCTTCTTCAGGGTGTTGAATGCGGACTTCATCTACAGAGAGCTTAACGCTTTTGTTTTCTCTGTACATTACAATATTATGATTTAAAGAGAGCATTAAGATTTTTTTCACAGCTCACTCCTGCCTCCCTGCCCCAAACCTAGTCCCCAAAGCCACATTTTTATCTTTCATAATATGAAATTAGTGTAGAAAGATGAATAGTTTGCTCTCATGACTATTATTTGCTGGTAATACCTGGAGTAGAACTGAACATTCTTGTCATAACCTCCTGAGTAATGTAGAGGGCTGCATCAAGGGCCATTGCTGCTGTGGATAGATTCTAGGGAAGAGGGGACCAGAGTACAGGATCATGGACCTTTTGTGACTGTAAAATGTGATATATATATGGTTTTTATACTGGCTTTCACTTATCAAGTACCTACTAAGTACCAGGTGCACTGTAAGAGGTGATGCTTATTACCATTCCTTATCACAGAAACCTTAAAAGATGGGAAAAATATTACCTCCCATTACAGATAGGCAGAGAGGCTCACAAGGGATAAGTAACTTTCCCCAGTGACTCAGCTAATAAGCCATTTTTGTCATGGCAATCACTTAAACATTTTCCCTGCACATGACTCTTCCTCTACCAGTGGGACAACTTTGCAAAGCCTGGGTCATATGGTACACTTCCTACAAATAAAAGTATGTAAATGAATTAGTGCTCCCAGCAAATCTGGGAGAAGAGAGATGGAAGGTCATGGATCAGAAGTCATTCAAACAAAATAAAAGTGGAAATCACTATTTTTTTTTTATCTGTGAACCTAAGAGGACAAAGTGTGACAGAGGAGGTCGCCTCCAGTCCACTGGCTCTTCTCACTCTGGGGTGCCCTTCACACATGAAACTGCTTAATGTGCAAAATAATCTGTTTCACCATTATAAATGACATATTCAAGATAGTTCAAATAAGCAGGTGATTGAATTCGGTATTTTTTTAATTAAAAACAACCCAAATATACAGAGTAAATAGTTATATTGAAGCAGGTATCTGAGAATTTGTTTTAAATTTCTAAAAAGTGTGGTAGGGACAACTCAGACACTGGAGGGATTTTTTCTCAAACAATTTAAAAATTATTTCACAAAGCAGCCTCACTAGCTTACCTGATTAAACTTCTCTATGAGGTAAAAGACCAGCAGAGTATCAAATATGTTCTTAGAGAAGTCTGCAGTGTCTATGGCATCTTAGTGTCATAGAATCAAGTATAATAGGAACAAATAGTTAAACTCTTGGGGGTGAATGGCCAGTACTAACCAAGACAAGATTACTGGATTACTGAGCATTACTAGACCTTGTAGAGGCCATAAATGGTGTGTAATATCTACTCTCTCTCCCCTCAAGGGAGATCACAGAACAACTGAAAGAACATGTAAGTCCAAACTAGCTCAAGACTCAAGTTGATTTGTCCATAGTGACCCTATTGGCAGATGGGAGGTGACAAAAGGAAGGTGACTGGTAGAGCCCCTGCTTTAACTAGCCGGGTGAATGGGACACAGGCTTGAACACTGGACAGCCTTCCCATAGGTGCCCTGACTCTTACATTAGCAGAGTTCCTCACCTTCAGGAAGCTAATATTAGGGAGGTGGTACAAGCTAGGCAGTTGTGCTGAAATGAATGCCAAGGATTTCATTTAAAATTCTGCTGATCTGTTATCATTTTTTTAAGCTAGAGAGAACTAAACATTTCATACGTGTCCTCTACCTAAAAACAGCCCCATATTGCCTGCCAGTTTGGTTGAAGCCTTCTGAAGGTGTCTGCACCATGTCATGATGACAGCAAACAGCATTCATTCAGTATTAACAATTTCACTTTTATGTGTAAGCTCCCTGCTAGGAGCTATACAGGTTTTTCTCATTCCTATGAGGCAGTGACTACTTTTATGTCCACTTTACGGATGAGAGAACTGAGGCTTAGGGATGTTAAGTGGTTTGACTGAAGAGCATATACTAAAGGAGTCAGGACTTAAATCCAGTTTTGTCTGGATCCATCCAGGACCTAATCTCTTAATGTCTGCACTGTATATACTACACTGCGATACTTGTCGGC